ATTGATTAGGTCTGGCTGAGAAGACGAGGCTATAGGCGAGATGAAGATGACAAAAGCTTGCCTAAATGGCTATGCTATTTCACCTATGCAGGTGGCTATTGCTGCATAACACCTTTCTGCATTACAGAAAAGTTGTTGGAAGGATAGGAGAACTGCACAACAACTTCACAATGGCATGTACTATTAGCAAATTTGATACGACATTTTAACCTACCAGAACGATAAATGATATAACTGCTCAGTGAGCAGTAAAAAGATTCATTGGTTTCTACCTCTATCCAACACACACAGTGCTACTAGTACTAGTAATCGGAAGGTTTAGAAACCATTTCCATACGACATTATACAAGAAAAGACATACCATAATAACAATCTTGAAGTTCGTTAAAGTTGCAGGTCCCGCTTTCTCTACATACCTAGAGACAAGATCATAGGTGAATATAGTGATGGGCTTTCTAGACCAGATGTGTTGAATCGAATTGAGAGCGTCATTTAGCGATTCCACAGTGTAGATATCGGAGGAAGTTATGCTGAGACAAGGACCAAGCCAAGTGAGAATAGCCTCGCGCCAGGCACATCGAAGTGAGAGTTGGGTGACTATGAGAAGAGGCCACTCCGATCGGTAGGCGGCAGCTATCGCTAGGGATTGCAGGGTTTTGCCCAGGCCCATATCGTCTGCCAAAAGAACCCGACCATCGTGTTTCAACGCAAACCTATAATTAACAAGCACTCAGTAGATCAACGTGTAGAGCAAATTTATCTTGCATCACCGATTGAAATTTTCGCTCTACTATTCCAATGGGCTTTTAGGCATGCAATATTAAGAACGATATATCTTTGTTAACCAGGAAAAAAAAACAATTCTTTACCAATGATTGAAGGTGGATGAAACTCAAACTGATGAAAAACGAATAATGAGAAAAAGAAAGTAAGTTTTTTCTAATTCAGATAAAAAGATATGCCCTATTATGACATTCCATCAAAACATTGTATACCCTATCTGCTAAATTCGTTTAAGTAGTAAGATAGAAAATAAATGAAAAGAGAGCCAAACAAGTAACAGTGCTACTAGCATAAAGTTAGGTAAGTGTAAAACGTACTTGACGCCCTCGCGTTGAAATCCCAAAAGAGAATCATTAAGAGACCGAGGAATGCTGTCACTCAAATCGACGTCCGCTTCCATTTCTGCAGGTGATTCATTTCCATCTATTTGTGATTTAAACGCCTAAGAGCAAGAAAAAATTACAGAGACATAAAAGAACCTACAGTAACAACTGCACTAGATAGTCCTTCTAAACTAATTCCTTCAAGTCCAGAAGCCCGCTTTACTGGAATGGCAAGAGGGATTAAGGAGAAAGTGAACACTTACAGAACTCACGATAGTCGGATAGGTTAAAGTGCCATTTCTTGGTATTATCATCTAAGGAAGTGAGTGAGTGAGTAAAAATGAGTTCGACATAAAACACTACAAGCTAGAATCTAACATACCATAAACACGAGTGGGAAGCGATTTGCACACGGCTATTAAGCCTGCATGATACCTCGCCTGAACTTCAAATTCCTTCCTACTTATCAGAACACAGACTGCTCGAACAGCCGGAGTTTTAGCACCAAATGATGGAACTTTCGCTCCTCTTGAATAATTAGATGATCCGGAAGGTGCAGGACGCTTTACATGAACTGGAGCTACATTCGATTTTGAAACTACAGATGCGCGAATAACTTTTGATAAGCTACCACCAGAAGGTGCTGATATGTTTCTAAATCATAAATACACTCCAGTTTAGTCCACTCAAGTACTTAACCGCGTAGTAAAACATTAATATACCTTGAGAGATTAGGTCTTCCATGAGAGGCGTTTGTAAAGTTAGATGGAGTTCTAAGAGTAGGTCTAATAGTACTCAAAGTCTGAGGGGCAACACTTCCATTCCTCAAAGATTGGTTACGTTGAAGTCTTAAAAGAGCTTCCTGTCTACTCCTTTCAGCTCTTGCTCGGGCTTCTTCTGACCTAATTGGCTTTTCAGGTCCCATGGCTGCAAGAAAAAATTAACTAATAAGTACCCCACAATATTTCGAAGGAGGAAAACAAGAGTTGAAAGTGAAGGAAAAAATTTATATTTTATTAATTGTATACAAGAGAATGAAGCATTGCACCCAATCCTTGAGTGATGTTGTTTGAAACAAGTTCATCAACATTTTCTTCCAAATGGCGTTTAGGATCCTAAAGAATATGAATGAATTATAAAAAACGAATACCATTTTTCCGACGTTTTTAATTGCCAGCTGTTCAGGTGTCATCTTTTCTTCTTCTTCAAGCGATTTGTTGTACGTTTTAACCAGGTCTAACACATGCTGAAGGGTTTTATGATTTGCATTGCAGTGAGTGGGATAATCCTCTAATGTAAGGCCTTCTTGCCAGGTTCGCTTATCAAGATTCATCAACATCTAAATATATTGAGAATAATAATTAAACCACTTAATAAATCATACCGTTTGTTCACGCTTATTCTTTCTGTAATTGATTGGAAGAGAGTAGTAGTGCCGGTTGAGGCCATGAATAAGAGCTTGAATTGAGGGTTTGTTAAGATGTCCAAGGTTTGATGTTGTTTGTCTTGGCTCTTGATTAGCAATGACCATGTTTGGATTAATAAGACGGAAAGCGTCGATAACAACTTTTCCTTTAACACTCTGAATTGGATCGACAACAACAGCGACCGCACGATCAGAAAGAGCTTCAAAGCTTTGTTGAGTGTTCATGTCGACGCCAGACAACCAGCAACCAAATCCAGGATGAGAATGATACCATCCGACTACCATTTCTGGTCTACCAGTTTGCTTCAACATGTCAATCATTTTTGCCTGAAATACAGGATCAACAGCTTCCACGCTCACACCAGTACCGGACTGTGGCATAGCAAATACATCCACAACAGTTACTGTATAGTCATCAACAAATTCTCCAAGCATCAAACCCATAACTTCCATAGGAACACCAGCTCGACCATGTTTAAGCATCTTTAACAAAGCTAATGAGCTAATGTAAACCTGTTCGGCAGTATCAGGAACAGGACCATCTGTAGGTTGAGAGTTACCTCCTGAAATAAAATTCTCCGCACCAAACCTCAACAAACGCTCCATTTCGAACCTATTAGTAATAAATTTTAAGCGACGCAACAGAGTAGACTAACCATTTAGTCAGTTCAAACATATAATTTTATAAAGTTGAAATATTTACATTTCAGAAAGGATATTCAATCCATAGATTCTGCAATAATTTAGTTTTTAATTGAATATTTTTTTATCTTATTTCATATAAATATAATTTATTCAACTACTCATAACCAAAATTTAATTAAATTTTTCTTTAAAATAAATTTTTCATATTCAACTTGCTTTTTCATTCAACATTCTTTACAATTTTTTAACAGACTTACTAAGGTCACTCTGGCCACATACTTAAGATGCATCAATCCATAAAGCTTATTCGTCTATTCCCTCGTGCTTTATTCCCAGGTCTTCGAAGCTTTTCCCTGAAATCTGACGTTCCAGTTTCTGTTCAATCCTCTTTAAAGAATTCTGATCCCAACGATATTTTCGATGGGTATACTCGATCACGTTACATCAAGCGTAAATTTGTTGATGTTTCTTATACAGAAGAAGATGGTAGTCTCAGAGTACGTCGTGTAGCCACTGGGCTTATTGATAACTCAAATGAATGGCTAGGTGACCAAATGACTCGAGTCCAAATGAAGATAACTCACGATTATGATCTCACTTTAGCAGGTTTTGCCGAACGGTCACGTAAAAGACTTCTTGCTAGGCACAAATTGCGACAACTGTAAGAAATATTTTCTCTGTTATATGTATAAATGTGTATATTCGTTTTCCATTTAGAATTTTCATATGCTATTAATCTTTTAGCATTTCTGACGAAATGGTTCAGAAGCGAGGAAGTTTGGACCTTGCTATCGCTCATATGGTTTGTGCGCTTGGCGGCCGAGTTCAGTTTGTTGGGGGACCTCCAAATCATTGGCATCAGTGCTATAACAAATCTCCTCCCGACTTACCCCTCTCTTCCTCTAGTGAATTGAAGCTGGAAGCCATTGATTTTTCGGGCACTGCAGTAATGTATGAGGGTCTACTGCGACTTCGTGGGTTTCAAACACCTTTTTTTAATTTTTTTGCATCATTTGTTCAATTTTATTCACCATTTTTGTCATCTAGCTGAACTCACTCATTTGAGAATGCTGAGACTGAGGAGATGCCTCCATCTGAATGATCATGGTCTTTCCTTGGTGGGCCAGATTACTCTGTCTCCCTTGGAGTACCTGGATATTAGTGAGTGCCCAAAAATTACGGCCAATGGAATTACCACTCTTACAGAACTGAAGTAATTTATTTGCTTATTTTTCGTTATTGTACGCAACTTAGATAAGCAATGCGTCAAATCATACCAATTGTTTAAATTTTAAATTATAGATTTAAAATTGATTCATGTCAATAGATAAGGCTTTTTATGGAAGAACGTTGTGAAATTCTAGTTTTTTTTTCCAGTTCATGCTCTTCGAACAGATTTTTCACAGTTGGGAAATTGCCCCCGTTTATTTAATCTCCTATATATTTTATCAGTATACTTCTTACGCAAACACAAGGATGATAGTTTTTTTTAGTATTCAATTCGTGTTAACCTTTAAGATAAAGTACTATCGTGTTTAATTTATAGACCAGAACACTATTCTAGAGACACGCCGGTTGAGAAATTCTGTCATTTCTATATAAATAGTTTCTAGCCATTTACAAAACTTTCTAGTCACTAAAGCACACTGATGAGTCGCTAATCTAGGTTCATTTATGATAGATGTTCGTTATTGCAATGCATTGGGCAATATGTTCAGAAGACTGCAGAAAGAACATGTCTTTGCCCGATCAAAGTATTGCATTTTGTCGATTAAAATTGATTAGATGGATCAACTATTCATGCCCCCCCC